TTGGAATCCGCTTACATCTGAATACAAAAAAACCCCTCTGCATAGAAAAACTAGAAGCCAAACTGAAAAAAAAAAACAACCCACACTAAAAATCTGAAAGCTATTTCCAAATATTTATTCCTACGAGTTAATACGAAGCACATAATAATTTGAAAAATAATAAGAGAGGCAAGGTTGTAAACATCCAGAGATCATATTCAATATCCGAAACGTCTGACAGGTTTACAGGACCTTTTTCTGAGAGAATATGATGTACAAAGCGAAAGGTGGGGTTTGAGTTCTTTGTACTATTCACTGCCTTTTTAGATAAAGAGCCAGGTGCATAACTTCACTCAGTTGAAAATCTATCTTGTATTTACATCTTTTAATGGAGCATAGCATTTTTATGTGTTCTGCAGCTACCGTCATTGAATTTATAATTGAAAATTGCTGAAATATGGACATCTAGTGGAGACATCTAATTATTACAGTTTTCTTTCTAGTGAAAATGCAACAAAAATTAAATGGACTTTTACCGATTATCTTGCTGGAGCCTGGAGTTTTGTGGTTGCTTTTGACTGCCTGGCTCATTGCTTAGTTGCATGACGTGAAGGTGACAGAGTCAGAATCTGCCAAAACAGAAGCTGTGCGTCATTTAACAACTTACCTAGGTGATTGATGAAGCAGAAAAACTAATGACCTGTGAAGGAACAAATGTTTCTTCAGCAAGAGGTAAATAAAGCTGATATGGGAGCTCAAGGGATGGGCAAAAACCAGAGGTTGTAAGTGCCCCTAATTTCCCCTGAAATTGCAAGCTCATAACTTTTACCTTAGCTTTGATGGGGAGAAGGAAAGCAATAATTTCAGGGGTGTTTAAAGGGTTGATGCACTGAAAATGAATGTTTATATTTTTAAACACATAGAGTTTGTAGAGCTAGCTGTGAGGACAAAAATATGACACTGCACTGCAATGTCTGCAGAGACCCTGATGTGATGGGATGTCAGCTGGATCACAAGGTTTTATAAGAATTCCTCATCAAAGTGTTTAATCTCCAAGAACACAAAATCATTTTCCATGTCTGAAGTAAGTATGCTAACTACATACTCATTTTTAATGTTCTCTTTTCTCATGCTATTCACTTTATTGCTGTCCACCTCGGGATTTCTGCTATTGTGGGATTTCTGACTGGGTTGATACTTGGCCAATATTTGTCTGACTTCTCTTTTTTTGTCTCCTGTGAAAACCATCTGAAACTAAGCAGAAACTAACCTTGATTTATTTCTTTAATAAACAAAATTAAGATACTGCATATTAATAAAAATGAAAACTATTCCCTAGTTGGTTTTTTTAAAGTTTCCAAAAACAGTCCCGTATCTCTGTCAAAGTTAATGTAACCAGAATTTCCATGGGAATTTCTGTCAGTCTGGGGAAACGGGAACCAGCTAATGTAAATAACTACATCCCATCCTCCTACTACTGTTCAAATCACCTTGTGAGAAAGGAAAGAGCTTTATTGAAAAGAAAGTGTCATAATCTTTCGTGGACTACAACTAGTATGGGGTAAGAAAACTTTACAGGAACTTTCTGTGCAAACCAGAGACAGAAATTAATCTAATGACAAATCACGACTTGAATTTCATGGGATTCTATGCAAAAATAGTTTTTTTCATATGCAATCCAAAATGACCTAAAGAATTACCTAGGTAATTCTTTTAGGATTTTATGACTATTTCCTTGAGAGTGCTACATAGGCAAATAGTTTTGCAGGCTGACATTTCTGTTTCTTTTAATAAGCTTAAGAATGTAAAATATGTATTTAAAGAGTACCTGGCCTGTATGTTTTGGCTGAGATAGGACTGGGAATTAACTTCCCAACTCCCTGTAAAAGTCTCCAAACATCCAGAAAACAACCACCTTGGATAACAAAACTCCCTAGCACTTTCCTGCATATGGCAACTTAATTTTACTGGCAGTAGAATCGTCATGGCATGAAAATTAGTTAATATTAGCTGTTAAATATTAGTTAATATAGTATTAAATGAGCTCTGATTGCATAAACGGAATATTTCCTCTCAATTATTCCAGATGAACTTTGTAATGAAACAGTTACAGTGGAAGGACATAATAAACCACACAAAGGCTGAGGGTACATGATTGCAAATGCTTATGCAGATTTTGAAGTATATTACCACATATGTGGTCACAGAAAGAGTTTAATAAGCCCGATGGTGGGTGCATGTCTTTCCACTGTAAATATTCTTCAGTTCTACTTCTCTACCACCGACTGAGAAATCCTGTAACAACACGGAGCAGAAGCTAGCAAATTTCCCCTGGGTTAGTTCAGGGGGACTACTGTGCATGCACTAGTGTCCCCAGATGGGACAGTGCTATAGGAAATTCTGGGTATGGCAATGTAAACAACAGGACACTGAGAGTCAGGCAATGGACATCTGAAAATCATGCAGCAAAGGCAACTGTGTCAAAGTTTAAGGCAATGCATTTCTAGAACTGAAGGGTTACAACCAAGCTATTCTCATCATGATTTGAAAAAGAGAGTCATATGAGTCTTTTCAGAAATCTGACATTAGTTTGGACCTTAATTTAATAAGGAACAATGGAATAATTCAGCAGAGCATCAAGAAACAGTAAGCAATCGAGTACTCTGCGTTAGAAGCCATGAATTGACCAGAGCCAACATGAAACAGTCTGTTCTCATAATGACATTCCTGAACCAAAAGACTGTGAAACAGAACTGGAAAGTTGAAAGATGATTTAACAAAAGCTGCAGGCTTTCGGCCTCTGTAGGACAGTACAGAGTATTGCATTTTCTGCCGCACTGCAGAGAGATCAGAAAAGCTCCTGGAAGGATAAATCCTGGAAACTCCCATGAAAAGTCTCTTCGGTGCTTTTAGTGTGGTCCTTTCTCTGACGGCAGGATAACTTTATTTGAACTGTTCCTGAAAGATGTTTGTCTAACCTGCTCTTAAATTTTCCAGTGGTGGACATAATACAATCCTCCTAGGTAATGACAGTGTTATCCACACCTCACCGGTGCCATATTATTTTGCAATTATAATCTCCTTGCTCCTCCTATTATTTCCCAGTGGTCATGCAGAACAATGTATGTCTCCCTCTGAAATGGTCTACTTTGCCCATTTTACATTTTCTAGATTTGAGTTATTTCAGTCTTTTCTCAAAGGTCACTCTTGTCACTTTCTTCTTGACTCTTGACAGAAGTATGACATTTCTGATTCATTCCCAGTTTGTGATTCACTATAATCTTGAGGATTTGCTTTTCAGAGCTACAGCCTAGTCATTTAACTGCCGCCTTGTCATTTGCTGCCTCATCATAAAATAGATCCATATATTTGTGAAAGTGTCTGTACAATTATTGATATTCTAAAAAAAAAAAGGCCATGACTCATCTTAAAGACAGCTTGTCCTTCAGATAGCAAAACTTCTGGCTGAAGCACAATCTGGGTTTATAATCAGAAATGAGAGCAAATATCTGGTTGAAGAAATATGAGTGTAATTCACATGATGGACTGAATGGCGTAGGCTGCGGTTTCCCCCTCAAGGTTGTATGAAGATAATGAGATGTGAAGGAAAGCAACTGACCTATAGCTTTTTTATGTTTTGTCTACTTCTCTTGTAATGTACGTCTCCTGGTAATGTGTCTGCATAATGAGAAAATTATAGATATATCTAGCATAGATATATCCACTTCCATTTAAATGAGACTTGACAAGTTTAGAAGGAATTTTGAAACAGCGACATCTTTGATACTGGCTTACTTTCGTGTTTTTACTCAGAATACTTTAACTCACTGGTATTTTAATGGTAGAGCTCTAAGAATGAACCTGAAGTTATAGCATTGCTGTGTACTTTGAAGACAGGAATACAACAGGGTTCTCTCTGTGGTTTAGCTTCAACACTTTGTGTGTCAATCAACGTTCAAAATAAACTAACACTCATGAGCTGGTCTATAAAGTAGACCTCAGTAGGAAATAACTGTAAGAACACTAGTTTAGTATTCTGGTGCCTGCATCACATTTCCTATGTGGCCTTATAACTATTACCGCGCGTCACGAGTCTGCCTGGAAAATGAGAATAAGAGACAAAATACCTTGTTATGATGTATTTTTACAACTTTTCATCATTGGTCTCTCTGTTGAAAATCAGACACACTTCTCTACTGAGCGGCTGTCTGTCTCCCTGGAGCCAAAATGTCTTGATCCTCTCTGACAGTGGCATTTCACAGCATAACCTCAAAATACAGAAAGGCAGTTGCATTGCAGTTGCATGTACGATGATAAATTTGATGAGCAAGGCTCAAACTGCTAACGACTTCGCTGTTTATCAAAACAGAAAAAGGGGTGTTTGCTCCTCACTAACTACTGAAAATGTGTGCTTTTTATTCGGGTACCTTTTTTTTTTTTTTTTTTTAAGTTGCATCACCACGTCCTCCCGAATCCAGCTCTGGTAACAAGCAGCACGATCAGTTACCTCCGTGAACAAGCCGTGCAGTAGCACTGCGCTATCCCGGGCGGCTGTATGAGTCACGGCCACGCCAAGGGTTTGTCACGGAGCCAAAACCAATCGCTTCAAGATGAAAATTTTCCCCCTGCCTCACCTCCCACAGCTATAAAATTCCATCCACCCATGCATCTCGAATGCCCCTCATTATGGAGCTCGTCATTCATTTCAGGATGGGTGTTCCACACAACCTGTCATTTTTCTCTCGCTTTAATTATTTTTGCATCTCCAGTACCGGATGGCTTGCCGCCCGCGGACGCGCCTGCAGCTCGGGGGCCGGCAGCGCGGGAAGCGCGAGTGTTTTAGACATAGAGCGTAATATTTGCCTGCCTGCCTACCTGCCTTTATGTTTTCCTTTCCCTTTAGCCTCCAGTAATTCTCCATATCTCCTTCCTCTCCTGAAATCAGTATAAAACACATATTCTATATCAAATGTGAAAAGTATTTAATTCTTATACCAGCAAATAAATTTTGGAATGAAGTGATGCGAGGTAAACAGCTGCAGAGTCTTTGTTATGTTTATTTCTCCTTTCAACATTTTATGCAACTTTGCAAAAGCGTTTTCTTGTTTTTAAAGTTCATGAGGTTTTATAAATGCTTGCATAATACTTTTAACTTCAGAGTGGTTTCTTCCTGAGTAAAATAAGCGACATTAAGCCTCTTATGACCAAGTACCATTTCACCACCATTCTTATACAGTAGCTTCACCCATCTCTTTGTTTTCTATTATGCATTGTCACAGCATTGATACCCAGGTGTTTTCTTCTGCATCTGCTTTCAAAAGTCTACTTGGAGATGCTGTCTGACAGGTACTTAGAACTGAGGAAGAAGACACAATACTCTCCACTAATTAAATCTTTGAGTGCAGGTGTTTAATGTTGAACTAGTTACCAGAAGCTAAGCAACAAGCTTTTAGGCAAAGCTTAAATGCTGCAGAATTTAACTTATCTTTTTTCAGCTGATCTTGGAGGTAAACATGTTATAATTGTAAATAAGTTAATTGTCTGATGATATAATAAAGATTTTTCCTTTTCTCTGAAGGGCTATTTTGGAAAAGGTATCCTTTCAAGAAGTCGACCTGTGTACAGCATTTCAGATCCTTTACTGGTTACAAAGTGGCAAGGTAAGTAGTGCCTATTTGTGCTTTTGTTGCTATTCTAATAGTACTTTTCGCTTTTCTTCACTCATTGAAGATACATACTTATAAATTACACCCAGAAAAGTAATCTCTCTACTGGATCAGATGAAGGCTCTCTCCCCCTGTACCATCTGATGATGGCCAGTACAAGATCCCTAGGAAAAATATAAGAACAGGAAACATACACCAGTAGCTACTTAGTGCATTCTCCTGGCCTTCACTGATTTGTTGCTTAGGAAATCTGGAAATAAAGGTATCATTCTTGAACTTTTCTTCCTAAAAATACCCAGTTTCTCTTGGTTTTAATCTCTAGATTTTAGTGTCCATGAAATTATGAGGCAAGGACTTGTGAGATTTTTCGTCTGCTTATAGCCAATTACACCTGGTCTGCTCCCAGTTGTTGGTAGAAAGACTGTCTTTTTACAGGCTGGAGAAACACAGTGTATTCAGTTGTTTCACTTGTGCAAGGTGTTCAGTCTTCACTGTCTCTGTACCTTTTCTAGGACCTTTTGTAGTTCTGCTACGTCTTTGAATACAAGTTGGACCAAAGTGGCATAGAGGATTGAAAATATGGGTAAATACTAGGCCACAGATTACCTCAATGCTCAAAATCGCATGAAAACATTTTTATATTGATGAAACAATGTATGATTTTTCTTTATACAGGTGCTAGCGTAAACATGCCTATAATTACGTCCAAAAAGTAAGTTAATTCACATTATTTTGGGTGGTTTTTTAGAAAGCAAATTATTTTCTTTTATGTTCTGTCTTACTGGTTTTCATATAGTTGGCTGTATATATGCTGGTGACTTCTATCTCTTTTCTTTGTATTTTACTTATAAATCACATTAGAAAACATAGAAATAGAGTAGGTGATATTCAGCATGGTTTTTCATATCATCTTGCATATATTAGTTGCAGACTAGAAGCCAAGATTGAATGCATGCATAGCAGTGTGGGTAATTAATTCATAATAGTATCAACCATAATAAACTTGTTCTTCAGCTGAGGAGGGGAAAGAAGTTTCTAGGGCAGTCTATTTAAAATAACTTTCCTATTCCTTATTGACCTAATATAATGTGGGTTGAGGCAGCTCTTGAACTTTTATAATACATAAAAGTTTTACCTTTTTTTTTTTAAGTCTCTATTAATATTGATAGCTTGTACATTTAAGAAAACAGAGTGTTGGACTACATATTTATTTTGTTCTGCTTAAATAGCACATGAACTAACTGCAAGAACTAAAAAATTTTACTTAAATTACAAGTTATGCTCCTTTGGTACACAACTTTAGGAAAGACAAACAGCAATATTGCTACTACTGCTAGTACAGTTATTACTGCTTGCAGAAACACTGTCATTCTTACTAGTCTGTGACTGCTTTATGTGTCAGCAAATATAGCTGAGCATCAATGAAAGTGTCATTACATTGGGGCAGAAGGTGCTTCATAATCTGTCTTAGTAGAGATCTGTAAGTGCGAATTATATGGTAATTAAATCATAGGACAAAGAGGTGTCTCTAATAACAAAATGTACAGCACTGAATTATATAATCTTTATTATGAGATGTCAGAGGGACTTACTTTGTGTTGTCACATGCAATTTGCATTTAATTGTCTTTGCAGTTCTTGATTACCTGGTCTGTAATCGCTGTGTTAAGATTTTGTTTGGAGAAGTAAAGAATATTGTACCAGAGTTGTCCAGGTTTGAATAAGGACCATTGCACTCAGCTACCTGTAACTTTCACAGAGTGAAGATTAATGTCTTCAACTGCATATTAGTGTTATTTTTCAAGAAGAAATAATTAAAGGGGCACTAAAAACTCTATCATAATGGAAGAATATTAGAAATATTTACAGTTTTCAGCTACTGTCTCACTGAAAGGATTATTGTTATTTCTGAGATGTGAGGGTTTTGGTTAAAACTGAAGGTAGTTTCTGCTTAAGATTTTTATGCTGGTGTTTTTGCTACATCATTGCTGTCTTAAAAGTAGTTAAAACAGAGTTTGAAGATACTGTTCTCAGTAGTTAGCTGTATATAGGTGAAGTACGTGAGAGATCTATATGCAAAGTCTTGTTGCATATTTTAGTTGTGCAAGCCCTGATACTAAGATGTTCTTGGAGAGAATTCAAGCTTTAAGGCTTCCATGGGAGAAGGGAGATTTTTGATTCCTGAAACTGTATGGCAGTAGTCCTCAATGTTCCTGTGCAACATTTTTGGTAATGGTGTTTGTTGGCACAGAAATCTAAAAGGCAAAATAAAGCCAAAGAAGGTAGCAGAATCGTGATGTTTGGTCATGTCCTGAAGACTAGAGTCCTATTACACTGTGCATGTTGCATAGGAGGTGTGTGTTCAGGTTTGTTTTGTGAACTGTGCTGAATCTTCTTTTTTAAGATATTAGTTCAAGTATATAATGCCCTAGAACTTCTCTTTCTTTTACTTGTTTACTAGGTACCAGTGTCACGTTCAGTGGGCTAAAAGTATTTTGCAAGAGCAAGGATTGGATGACTGCTCGGTTACCAAAATTATTGAAAATTACACTAAGCCTCTTGAGCTGCCACTTTTGGAAGAGGATGGAGCTGAAAAAAACAGTAATAGCTGCAACAGAATGGGCCCAAATACAGAAAATACGGAACTTTCCAGACAGTGTTCTACAGCTACTGGAAATGTAGTAGCCCAAAGTCCTGAAAATCAGAATGAAGGCTGCAGGAAAGCCTGTTTGGAAGGCGATGCAGCGTTTGATCTCGTGGCCATGTGTGGCTCTGAAGAACAGGAGCAAGGTGACTTGAAAGAAAGAGCTGAAGTGTCTTGCCTGAAGCATGGTTTTCTTGTGCACTGCGGCTGCAAGGCTAAGGAGAGCACTGAGCAAAGATCTTGTGAGATGGTCAAGTCAAATGAATGTGCTCCAGAATATGTATTGGTGCAAGAGGAAGAAGAAGGTAGCTTATGTCCTGAAGATGATGCACAAGAAAGTGTAAGGATAAGGAGTATCCTCATCTTTTAGAAAAATTATCAGTGCTATTTTCAGAATTTAGTATTTTTTCCAGTTTAAAGTTTTAGTAATATAGTAAATTTTTCTTGTAGCTTGTCAAGAAGGAAAGACTAGTATGCAGAAGAAATCCATTTAGGATTTTTGAATATTTACAACTCAGTTTGGAAGAGGTATGTTTCAAGTACGGTACAAATTGTTTTAATCTGAAAAGTAAGTATTAATCTACATTACAACATAATAAGTTTCTAAAGTACAGGGTTCTGCAGTGTCTCATAAGCATTTGGATTGGTTTAGTCATTAAATTTATTTTTAGTAACCTGTGATAATTACATGATATGGTTAAAAAAATACTTAGGGTCCAATCCCATTCACTTTAGATGAATAATCCCACTGACAAAGAAACCAGTGATAGGATTTAAGTGTAGAAATATCAGGAGTATAACATTTAAATAAATCCTCCTTCAAATGTGCTGCTTCTAAATTTATTCACATGTGTTAGTTTTAACACTGTGCCTTCAGGAGTCTGCAGCACATGCATAGATTTTTTGTAGTGCTGTGTCTGTTGAAATGCAGAGGTCATGAAGACAAATCTCAAAGAAAGCTTTCAGGCAATTTATTTGTCTTGATGACACTAGGATCCTTGTATGAAATTAATTTGAGTCTTTTCTTCTTGCATGGAATATAAACCACAGAAAGAGTCTAGCTATGAGTTAAACTTACTCTGTTTATTTTTTCAGGCTTTTTTCCTGGTGTATGCTCTGGGATGTTTAAGTATTTGTTATGGTGAGGTAAGAGCTTAGATTAATTCTGGATTACTGGGGATACCATTAGGTTGAATATGTTTCGATCTGAAATTTTTACCTACTGTGGCAGTACTTTATGCTGTTAATTCTGAAGGAGGAAATACTATACAGATAATTAGGAAGTTTTTCCTATAAATAGTGGTATGGTCTGAAAATTTTATGTTTACCAAGGCAAATGTAGTTAAGCACAGCCTTTCTCTAGAGAAAGGCGGTTGTTGTAACTTCGGCAGGAAATATCGGGAAAGCAAATATAGGAGAAAAAATATGGCAAATAGTCTCTTTCCTGAAACAGGAAAATTCCTTGGAGTTTTAAGCATTAATCTATACAAAACTCCTGTTAATGTAATGACAAAATAATTGAAACCTATACTTCTAGTTTAAGATTTATTAGATTTTTATTTAAACAAGGGCAGTATGGAACTGATTGTGAAACGCTTAAAAAAAAAGCACTGAATGGAGTAACAGGTTTCTGTCTTGTATTTAGGGATTCTATATTTTGTTGCCTGAAGTTCATGCTCTTTGCAGTAGACTCTGTGATAGTTGATAATTGGCTGTTATTATGTTCTACTACACATTCTTTATTTGCTTAATTAATTTTCTTAATTACATTAGTGCCTTTGTGATTTTTAGGAGCCCCTAACTATTTTGAAGCTATGGGAAGTTTTTAGTGAAGTGAAGCCCAATTTTAAAACTACCTACATGGCATATCACTACTTCCGCAGTAAGGGTTGGGTCCCCAAAGTTGGACTGAAGTATGGAACTGATCTCTGTGAGTAGCTTCCTTAAAAAATGGAATCATTTGTAACTTGCAATTCATTTCAAGCAGTGTAAGCCTCCAGTGGCAAAGATTAATTCAGCAGTGAGGAGCTGCATGACTGAAGCAGGCTTTGCTACTTGCAGTTGGCAGAAGATGTTTTTGGCTAGCCTGTGGGTTAGCAGTGAAGTTAGGATGTGAATGGAAAATAACATCACGTATCTAGTACCCGAAGAGATAGCTCGAAAGACCTGTTGTTTTGCTTCATGAGGTTAATAATTAATACAGGATTGCACTGAAATTCCCTAGCCAAGTTTCTCTGTCCGCTTCTAAGCACATCTTCTGCAGTGTTAACATGAGGGTTCCTGGAATAGCAGGTTTGCATCTAGATCCCAATTCACATCAAAGTCCATGCATCTCATTATTCATCCCATTTAATGGAAGCTGGACTGCTGCTGAGCTTACTGCTAAAATTGTTTCTCTGTGTATTTTTATTTTGTGGGGCGAGGAGGCAGAAGGGACCTGCTTGGTTGTTAATGATAGGGTTTTTAATCTTGCAGGAATAATTAGTAGTGTCCTTAATCCCTTGCTAAGTAATTCAAGAACTAAATTCAGCTCACGTCAGTATAAACAGTACAGTAATGCCTGTCATTACAGGAAAATGTGCATAAAGGGAGATATTTTTAACATATGCATGCAAGTCAGCAGGTGTTTTAATACTCCTGATGCAGTTATATAACTTGGGGGTTTGAATATTTGAGTATGTCAAGGTTGTGCTGAGCTGACCCTTTAGATCAGCATGTAGGTTTGGCTGAATTCATGATCACTGTTTACCCTGCGCTGTAGAAGGGGTTTTGCTGTTGATCATCTGATGTATATGTGAAATTGATACTAGTTTGTTCACCCTTCCTTTGTGTTGTGGCCTGAATTTGTTGTTTAGCACATCACTGCCTTTGGATTTGTGCCCAACAGAGGAAGTGGATTAGTTTAAGGCTAGTAGGACATCTGCCTTACTCCTGAGCTCCTCTAGCTTCTTGTTCTCTGGCAGTAATTTCTTAGAGTTGGCATTACTGCAATTACTTACAATGGATAATCTGCAAATCATGGTCGTCACTGAAATGAAGTGCTGCTCGTCCTTTCCCTGAGAGGGTCTATGCTGTATAAGAAAAGCTGTGCTAGTTAAAGAAGGTCCCCTCTTACAAGCTCCTGACAAAGGGAAGACTGTGTAACCATCCATATATATATATATAAAAATGTAACCATTTGGTGCAGTTACAGCAGTCTAGCTGCAATGTCTTGTGTGCCTTTGCATAAAGAAGGAACTTTAATGGGTCTAGTGGGCAGTATGTAACAACTTGTGCCCCATGCCTCTCCTAAAACTTGTAGAAAATGCCTGCTTGGAACAGAAATCCCATGGTTTATTGTGATCTTTTCCTTGCACTCCAGTGGTTCAATGTCTGTTGCGAATACAGTGTTAAAAGCACAAGGCTGTTACAGAAAATTTCCATTCTAAACTTTTTCATGCGGCAATTGCTAACTGTCCTTTGGGTCTTCTACTTCATCTTTTACCTACCAGTCCCCTGCCCTGAGTCACCCTGCTGCTCCCATGGCTTTTTTTGTCTCTTCTCTCTCTCTCTCTCTCTCTCTCTCTCTCTCCAGTTGTTGGGGCAACTTAATTCTGAGCAAAATTTAAGTGCTGAAGTTTTGTAAAACATTTGAAAATATTTATGGTTCCAGGTATTAAACTCAGGTGGAAACTCTGTGATTATCTAACTAAGGTGCTTCTCTTTCATTGCAGTGCTGTATCGAAAAGGCCCCCCCTTCTATCATGCAAGGTTTGAAGCTCATGTTTCTGTCTAATTTCTTAGTTTCAAGTTAGTAAACTTCTCTCTCACAGCTTTAGTATCTTCACTGGATAAGTAAATAACAAAATTTCATTTAATTCATGTAACAGTAAAAATTAACATTAAAAATTAGAAGTTGCAATGAGGACTTTTAGCACTATGATTAATTCACTCAAAGTAATTTGATTTAGTAATACTGACTTTTAAAAATATATGTTATGGATAGTTTATGTAATTTGGGAGAAAAAAACTTCTAAGGGATGATAATTGTCTTTATTTGTTAGCTAGTCAGATTGAGCTCCTAGATAATAAATTGATTATAAATGTCAGACTGGCATTCATAAGAGAATGCTACAAACAGTAGAAGGGGCAGGGCGGGAAAGTACCAGTGAGCATATTCACAACTTCATCTTTTCTCCTCTTCTTCTGGTAGAAAGAGTCTTAAATTTCATAACTTGCTTACTGCATGCTGGCATATTGTTTAATGCCAGTTTTTAGGCTGTAATTCTTAAGTTTCGTGATCTTCCTACAAGGACAATTCACAGAAGGAAAATTACCATATCTGCTTTGTTTTCTAGTTACTCTGTCATTGCTGAATTAGTTGATGATAATTTTGAAGGTCCTCTTCGCAGACCACTCAACTGGAAGTCCTTGTCTGGGTTGAACAGAACAACTGTTAATGCTTCTAAGGTAAGAGTATGATGCTAGTTTTAATATAGTTTTAAAATTATAAATGTACAGTTTAGTTCCGAAGAATGGGGAGTTGCAGCGAGGCAGGAAAGAGAATCCTTCTGTTTCTGGTCTGCTGAAGAACATGTTAAGTTGCCAGTATGCAAGCAAGTCTCCTTTTCAATATCCAGATGAATTCAGGAAGGAGCTTATTAAAGTTCTGTCGCCTGTAGGAATGTTAAAAGTTGTGTGAGGAACAGAAGAAAGACCCGAGGGACACTTCTTTCCTGCTTGCTATTTCTGTTTGTAAAGCCCTCTCCATCTACCAGGACTTTCTTTTGAACAGTGAAATGGAAAGCTTCCAGAAGATTTTCTCTGTGACAGAGCCTCAAACAGTACTTCCATACTCCTAGCCATGGTGCTCAGGTGCTGTGTTATAATTATAGTTTATCTTAGAGCAGTATTTTGCTTTGATAAGGAAAATGAGATATGCTTATTGTACAGCTCTCCCCAACTTGGTTTGCAGAAGACATCTTGTAAGAAACTTGGTATCTGCATCTACTAATTAATCTAAAACTTACAAAGAAGGAAACCAGTTGAAATTCATGTATTCATGTTTTCCGTATACCAACAGGAACTTATGTTATGCTATTTGATTAGACCATCTGACATGACTGAAAAAGAGATGTCGACACCAGAATGTATGAAAAGAGTTAAGGTTCAGGTGAGTAATTACTCCTCTCCTTTGCCTGTGTAGCTTTCCCTTGGGGCAGCTGGACAGCTAAGTGTAAGAGCTCCCTTGAACTGCAAGAGCTTCCTTGAACTGCTTCTTGCTCTTTAGCATGCTTTGTTTTTTGCAGGCATAGCTGCAACAAAATAACTAGATTCCTCCCCAAGGCATGAGAAGTGCATTGCAGGCTCTTTAAAGACTTAAGATCTTCTAATCTAAATCTGAATGTTGCTGCTTCTGTGAATGTAAGCATTTGCATGGGGAAACAGGGATACTTTATGGAGGCTGTAAGGTTAGTGTATGTTTAAAAATGGAGAAAAATGTGTGAGACCAGCTTACTTCAGGAACAATAGTAGTCACCTACTAAGATTTCTCAGTGGTCACATAATATATGTAAATTTGCTAAAGGATTAATCCCCACCCCTCAGTGATTATCTGTAGCTTTTTTTTTTTTCCCCCCATAGTAATTACTGGTTTTTATTTCAGGAACTGATTGTAACTCGCTGGGTTTCTTCCCGTGAGCGCAATGAGCAAGATGAACTTTGACTGTATAGGAAAACCTTAATACCATTTCTTTTTTTTTTTTTACCTCATCTTCTCATGCTGAACCTTTGCCTTGGAACAGTTTCTGTTGACATAGTCTGTTGGTATGTATAAATGCTATTTAAAATTAGGTATATCCTCTTTACTGGAGAGAATGTTGTATTGAAAAACATAACTATAATAATGTATATGAAGGGGAAAAAAATTAAAGCTGTGTCCCAACTCAAAATACTTGTTTGTGTTATTAAAACTTCCAGACGTGCAGTGATGAGTAATGGTATTTTTAATGTTCTGACAGATCCAGGCATTAGTGCTGAACAGGTCCTATGGCCTGCAGGGCCACTGAAGTCCAAAACCTGAAAGTCTGCCTGCAAACCAAAGCAATGAGGGATCAAACAGTTTTCTGGGAGTACCTCACTGGTTCTTCAGAGTTGAACTTGGGAATTGTAAGGCTATCTTCATTTTGTAGCTTGGCACAGGGTCCTACATTTCTTCAGAAAGGAGGATTTAAACTTGATAGTCCTCAAGTTTAAGCAGTAAATACAAGGAGTCAAAAAACCTTTTTGGATAACTGTGGTACCATTCTTCAGACAAAACCTGACTTCATAGCCTTGATGAAGTTGCACAAATTCAGATTTGGGGACAGATTTGGTAGTTGCAGTATTGAGCATTATAACACATTGCTGTTAGGTGTCTAGACCCTGGAATTTAGTGGCTTATTTTCACAAGCACTGCTCAGAATTGAGGAACTCTTCCCAGAATGTGCAGAGATTTAAATTCTTTCTGGGATCTGAGCACCTAACAGCAAAGTGAGGTGTTAGATATCTTACCCAAACAGGGAAAAGTGCCTTTCTTCCCTTGGGATTTGCAGCATAAGGTTCCTCCTTGACAATAAGGGCACAATCTTGCCCCATGACAGCAAGATGCCCTGACCACAAGTCGATGCCCTTTACCTTTGTTGAAGGTGGGTTACTGTGCAGAAAATAATGAAGATCCTGCTGAGCTAGTGAGAGAAAGTCAGTCTCTCTCACTTGGCAAGTGTCTGTTTCATCACTGCTTTTTTTCTCTCCTATCCAGCAACTACAATAGTCTACTTTTTTTTTTTTTTTTTCATAGTGAACTTGCCCTGGCCTATCACATGTTGTATAACAGAATGGGACAGACCACTGCGTTTTGTATGGAGTGAGGTACATGCTGAGCAGTTGTGCCTTGCTACACTAGGTGCCTGATGTTTTCTGATTTTTTTTGTAAGATTTAATAATCTAGATTGGAGGTTCCTAAATATAATGTTTACTATTGCTAAGCCATATTTGGAAAACAAACAAACCAACTCAGCAGGTATTCAGTTGTCTTCCAGATAGAGCCAGGAGGTTTAAGTATCAACTACACTGCATTTTAAGTATTGCTGGTTTAGATTCAGGCATTTGAATTTCATCTTAGTGTTTGAACAATAGTTTCCTTGCTTCATCACACTGCTAAGATTTTTGTTTTTCTTCCCCCCGTGTTGTGAGAAAACACATTTGCTACAACAGTAAGGATACAGTACAGCTGGTGACAGTGACACTGTTTTGGATTTTCTTTGTGCTGTTTTCATTCACTAGAAAAGGGAGTTTGCTTCCTGATCACAGGAAATTTTCCAGGGCTGGTAAAAATTCTGTCAGCTTGGACTGTTCCCATCAAACACAAAACCACACAGATAGTAATGATGAATGTAGGAAACTACATACAACTCAAAGGGGAAGATCTAGTGTTTGCTTTCATTTAATACAACTTCTGCTGGAAAGATGTAAAATGAAAATGTTAATTGCAGAATAGCTTTTTCAAGCCGAACAGGTATGTATGTGTTGACTGTATGTGGCAAGGTGTTCTAGCTGCAGATGACTGTACTTCATGTTTCAGTACTGTTGTACCAAATAACTTAGTTGTACCATAGCACTGATACTTGCCATTGCATTTATTTTTTACCAATTAAACTACAGTACTTAAATGAAGTATGTATTCTGATTCACTCAGAAATAGCATACCATAATTTCTTTCTATAAGCCAAATCCTAGCTGAAGAATTCTGACTTGCACTAGGAGTGGGTGAATAGGAAGTCTCCAATGGCAGCCAAACTGAGCATTGCAAGCTGGTTGTCTCTGTTGTGTTGGGTTTTTAATATCCTTTTAAAGGAGCTATAATTTAGAATTTAACAAGAAGTGGAAGAACATGGTGGGAAGAGTGTGTAAAGTGTGGTGTGTGCAGCTGGAGAGTATGGAGGGGCAGGGTTAAATGCAGTTTGTGTATATGAAGGTGTAAACTAGATGTAGACAAAACCCTAATCATTTATGATTACTTCTCTGTCTTTGAGAAAATAGGACTTACATCTAGACTAAAACCAGCAGACTTTGCAGAAATTAGAAGGAAAAAAAGCTGAAATTTGTATTTAAACTAGAATGTAAATAAAGTGAAATTGCACAAAATTATGGACTGTACAGTTTTGACCTCACCTTACACTTCCATGTAATGTACAGTAGGCAGAAGTGCTGTTGGAGGATCTTTTAAATTTTTTTTTAACTTAAATTTCTTAAGTTTTGACTTGGAGATAAATCCTGAGGAGTCTGTTGCTTACCACAGATACTAACAGATACAGACACTAAATTATTATCTTTTAGTACTAAGCATTTGTCTTGGTTTAAGGCATAAATGTGCAAAACGTAAAGAATTGGAAAAGAAATGTATCTGGCAAAGAGGCTGGATTTATTTGTTGTTATATTAGTAATTAAAGAAAAGCAACTTTGCATGTAGTGAATCTGCATTAAATTTGGATTTCAGCAGCAGGCAAGCACAAATTACCTTTTTTTCACCCATCAGTAAATAAGTGTACCAGGAAAAAAACATTTTGGTTTGCTACAGTTTAAGTTAAGTTACCAGTTTGTTTGTTAAAACCCTTAATTACACAGCAGTTAAAACTTCTGATATTAAGTATCTCGGCAAAGCAAGAGCATACAGTGAATGTAAGTAGGAAAATATTTTTCCACATGAATAGTTCCCATAGAAATTTTCTGTAGTGTGTACACTGCATGGATGGTATTTCATTCAAAAGCGCAAGTTCAGTTTCCTGATCCTTCCATGATGTGCAGGTTAACGTGTAAAGGTAACTGTGGTTTTATGTACATTAAGTAGATCATGCATCTTAAACCATGAGATTTGGAGTCTTGAGGCTTCCTTTTCCTACTGCATGTTGTAGATGTTTTAATACAGCAACCTGTTGTTTTCATCACTGTTTTTCTTGATCAGGAAGGGGTACAATGTAGAAATCATTAGCTGTTAGCTCATGATGCAGAGTAATGTATTTAGAAGCTTTCTTTGTCTGCGGGATCACAAATTTCTCTGTAAATTCACTTTTACTCATTTGCTGTTTTCCTTGTGCAGTCAGTATGCTGTTAATGAATGCCAGGGCATATGTGTAGCAGTTGTGGTCATGTTCTTCATACCTAGGAAAACCATCTTGTTAATAAGAGTTAGCACTAATCCACTAATTACTGTGCGTGGAGGAAGATATTACTGAGTGAAATAAGGAAGCGCATGCTTTCCAAGAACTATTGCCACCTTTCTTTAATGCTGGTGCTTACATTTAATGTATTCTATTCATCACAATTTGTACCTTCCAGCCAGGGATACTAGAAGCTGTGAGCATGAAAAAAAATAAATAAAAATGCTGCAGACTTCACAATAATGAGTTCTTATTTTTTTTATACTTACTTGGCTTTTCCTTGTTAACCTTTTTTCTTCCACGTATTGTTACTCCATTATCCTGAAAACTTCTTCCTGCAGCAGTTAGGTTAATTTTGTGCCACCATGTGCACTTCTTTGTGTGGCATTAACTTGCAAGCTTACTTAAAATCAAGTAAATTCTACCACTAATAGGCAGATATAGTTGCTATATGTGCCAGTCAAAGCTCCCAATTTGTGCTAATTCTGCAAGGACAGAAGTACAAGGAGCAGCTACTTAAAATGTTCTTCCCCCGCCCAGTACCCTAACATTGGAGCGCGTGGCACTTACCTGTTCTTTCCTCTGTCAGAATGTTTCTCGGATTTTCCCAAATATTTCACGCTGGCCACTAACAACTTCAGTAATTTACTCCATTCCCTCACCACCTAGTGCTGCTTTTTCTGCTGGCCCTGTACAACAGTACTTGATGCAGACCTGCTCAGACTCCTGTTTGCATCTGCCTAATCCTCAAGCTTCTTCTGTAATTGCCTCATCCTTCTGTCATTTTTCCCTTGTTCTTCCTTGCCCTGGGTCTCATTCCTTGCCTTGTACTGTCAGTGGCTCTGTGAGGCTTGCCTGTCAGCCCGGGGAATTTACAAGGTGTTTTTGCAAGCTGTGAGGACTCTGGCTATCAAAAGCAACCGTGCAACCCTGAGCCCAGTTCAGGACAGCTCACTGTTTTCTTCAAAGCTCTTCTGGTTTGTTAAAGGCATCTGAAGTGACCTATGAGTTCCCGTTTAGTAAGCAAGCAATTTCCTACAGTGTACTTACTTTACCAAAATAATTGTTAAATAAAAATAATTATGAGTAACTTCAAGAGTGACCATCATCACTGCACAGTGCAAAACACCTGGAAATGACACAAATAAATGTTGAGTTCAGCAAGTCAGGGCTGAGTGCAGAGCACTGCAGTGTCTGGGTGACCTGAGCACACCCTTTCCTGAATCAGTTCCTCAATTAAGCAGAGCACGTAGCTTTTCATTTCTGTTTGCAGACTATCTTCGTATTTATAATGCAACAGACTATAATACACTTCTCATTACCATCTGTGCCTTCCAGTTAGCTTCTCCTTTTTGGGAAGCATGTCTTTATATTCTGTCAAGCCCAGCATCTCTCAGCAATGTAAGATATTGTTGGTCATGGCTGTAGCCACTGTTCTTTGTTGCTGGTATATGCCATGCTTCCAGTAAGTGAAAAGAAATCAAGAAAAGTAGCATTAGGCTTGACCTGAACCCAAAAGAGTTACAGGATTAGTTTAGTGCAGTTCCTGTCCATCGAGAAAATAAACAGAGGAGTTAATTTAAGATCTTTTTAAAAAAAAAAAAAAAAAAGTTCAGTTTTCAGCAGTTTAGTGGTCACTGCTCTATTTGTGGAAAAAGTAGGTCACTTTGTCAGGAGGTGGCAGACAGAAGAAAACCAAATAAAAGCTTGTACAAGAGATGCACACATCTGTCCATCTTCTACTAATGCTGCTTTGACATTGTTAATTTTAATTTTAGTAATGATGTTAAGGCACTGGGAACTGTAAAAGTATGAGACACAGATCATTGGCTTTAGAAGTTTTGTAAACATTTGAAAATTCTATTCTAGGTCAAATTCTTTCACCTCCTGGTGCTAGGGAGATAATACAGTATCTCTGAAATTTTATAGCTGAACACATACAGAATTGCTAAAAAATGCTTTTGATTTGATGATTATTTATTTTATAGAAGATGATGTCTACATTCATTAACTTGGACACTTGACAGAACTATTTTCAGACAGGCTGTTTGTTACATGTGCTGTTAGTGATGACCAGTTCCAGGGCTGGTGTTTTCCTGGTGAACAGGCTGCTTTGTCACCAGCTGGCTTGCTGATGTGGCAGTGAATGTTTTAGCTGAGCTGCCTAATTTGCAACACTGTCATCAGGCATTAACTTTAAGGAAAGCTACAAAGAACTCAATGTTCTTGTTGGGACATACTGGTTTAATTCAAAATATGTGGAAGTCTTTCTGTATTTAACTATCTGAAGCAATGTTATAAACCAGCTGGAAATGAGCCTGGCTATGTTTGCCATTTCTGATCACTGACCACAAAGAAGTCATCTGGATGCAAGATCTGGGCAAGAATCCCATCAGTGTGGTCAGCCTTTAAATGCAAATATACCTAAAACTGTTAAAATCTAGGAGAAATAATTATAAATTGCTCCTTGACTTTTCTTTGTCTGTATTCAGCAGCATACTCTTCCCTAAGATGATCTTTTATTTTAGAGCTTTTACATTCCAGCATGTTTATTACTTAAAACTTAAAAATACTCTTTCTGTTTAGCAAGGCCGTAAGTTTCAAGACAGCCTGACACTGTTGTTTAGACTGAGTTGTTGGTAACCTGTTCTAAAGGAGCAAGGCTCTGAATGAGCCCCAAGCCTTGTGGGGTCTGAAATGAAATAGCCCAGTTTATCATCCCAGACTAAAATCTGATACTGCATCCAGCTTTTCAACTACATACCTGTGAGGAAGCCAGGCCTCTCCCACAGAAAATTCCTCTAGAAGTTTATCCCACTGCTGAAGAAGCCCAAACATGTCTGGCTGTACTAGTGGGATACTAATGCACTGTTCCCATCCAGTTTCAGATCTGTGAATGCCCTCTTCGTTGTAATTATACACCACACCTGAAAATAAACAGCAACAGATTGTCAGGTGGCACTTGGAGAATCAGATCCACATCCTTTTTTTTTTTTTTGGTTATTGTTAGAAATGGTGAAAGCTGCTACTAGTTTTCCATGCTGCCTTCCTTTCTTAGACTAGCTATACCCTCTCATTGTTACAATGTAATTTCAGATGTCTTTTGATAATAACGGAAATTCAAGGGCAACAAGGCTTCTTTTTTAAACCCCCAAATTAGATTGACTGTATACTAAACGAACATCTGAACTGAGATTTTGCAGGGTGGTCCTACTCTAGGAAAATCTGATATGATTTTTAATGTGGCTTTTTAAAAGCTTGTGTTTTAATTAGAGGTAGTTTTAGAACTGGCAAAAGGTGTTTAAGTCAAAATTTCATTTAACTTCTTTAAAGTAAGCTGCCTCGCTTTATTTCCCTGTGTCAGGAATACAAGTCACTGCCAGTTCTGTGCAATGTGAAGAGTGGGGTATGACTTTGATTTCAAGCTCTGTGTGCTCACTGCAGCAAGGTGAGAGGGGTTTTTTTGATCTCTGCATGATACTCTTTTTGTAGTGAACAGCTAAGCGCTGAGGAAGCACGCATTCCTCAACAGCAAAGCATCAGGCGTGTGGATGTTGCAGCCTGCATTTTTAACAGGTACCAGACGTTACCACAGCAGTAGAGGTGGCTCTGAAATAACTGTCACGCACTTTGGATTACTGTGGGCGGAGGGGGGAAAGCTGAACCGGGCGTGCAATCCAAGGTATGGGAGGGGGCGGTAGTTCGTAAGGCAACTACAAAGTACTTTTTACCGTTACTATTGGTTATTCCAACGTGAAGGTCAGATTTCCCGTCGTATCCTCTGAAAGAGAAACAGTGCCGTTGGTGAGGATGGGAGCGCTGCCTGTCCCCGTTAGAAACGTCCTTACGCTCTCCCTGTGCCACTTCTCACCCTACGGGGGCCCAAGGCGCGGGTCGGGCAGCAGAGCTCGGCTGCGGCCACGGGAGAGGCGTTTTCATTCCAGAAAAGGGGCTTGATCGGGACTTTACACAGCGGCCGGCCAGC